CTTGTAACTTATTTACTAGTCACAAGTAAGGAAGTCAGAGAGACTGTTGTGTGCTGCGTTCCACTGCAACCTGAAATATAATTCGGTTGTCCTATAAAGTCTATCGCTTCATCAAAACTGTATTACGTTCACGAGAATATTGTTATCGTTCGATGTATGGTAATTGTATAATTCATGTGATCATGACATATGATACTTGCAAAATGTCATACCGCTATCTGGAAAACGCTCATATTCTCAATTCCGTGAATGCCTTCTCGTAATGAATGAAATGTAGAGTAGTAAGTTCCAACCAACTGATTGTACCACAATTATCCGAAATGTAGCGCTTTGATAGGTACACTATCGAATTTCACGAAAACCAGCCTGTTGATCTCGTACTTGATTGCCTACTTAATTACTTTCAGTTTGAACTCATACTGAGTGCTCAGATTTTTGACACTGCAAGTCAAACATCCGAGGTTTATCCACAACATTTCCCTCTTCCGAATCGCTTATACCATCTGCTACAAATTTCAATGAAACACATTCATAAGACGTTTACTATAGTCTACAATACACCGTTATCTGGAACTCCAAACAACTTTCAACCAAAACCAGGATTTTCAATACAAATGTCAAGACAGTTCTACTGCATGGAGCGGAAACTTGGAGAACTACGAAAGGCATCATCCAGAAGATACAAGTGTTTATGAACAGTTGTCTACGCAAAATACTGCGGGTTCGTTGGCCAAACACCATCAGAAACAACTTACTGTGGGAGAGAACAAACCAGATTTCAGTGGAGGAGGAAACGAGGAAGAAGCAGTGGAAGTGGATAGAACACACACTACGAAAAGCACCTAACTGCGTCACGAGACAAGCCCTCACACGGAACCCTCAAGGCAAAAGGAAAAGAGGAAGGCCAAAGAATACATTACGCCGAGAAATGGAGAAAGATATGAGAGGAATGAACAAACATTGGACGGAACTGGAGAGGGAAGCTCAGGACAGAGTTGGTTGGAGAAAACTGGTGAGCTGCCTACGCTCCATTGGGGGTAACAGGCGTAATTTGCCAAAATTTTTCAAAATACACTGTGTTCAAATGGTGTAACATAACTAAGAACACGAGAACTAGTTCACAAGAGACCCTTACAAGATAATCATGGAAAGCATGTAATGCGTCCATCGAAATTATTTAAACCCTGAAGTCTAAAATTCCTCTACTTTCAATTTTCACTGTCACCGTATAACGCTCACAGTTGTTCAATTTTTAACACGATGATCACCAACTGCGAATAGGTTTGAAATGTGAGCAGTTTTAAGGATATTCAACTGCGAAACGATCATGATGAGAATGTTTTCCGCAGTCTGAGCGCTTTCGACCACATATACAAGATGTTGTACTGATGCTATCTAGACAGACACAGAACACACTGCTAGAATGGGAGTGTCATGAACCTAGGATCATCAAAGCATCCTTCGAAACAAAGAAAGGGGGCAATAGAATAAACCTCAACGCGCTTACGAACAATTACAAGTGAAGACTACGAGATACTGCAGCCAGTAGTCGAGAAATGTCTAAACAAGGTCCTGACCAGTTAGATAAGACACCTAAATGGCAAGGTTGGAATCAACAACGACGGATGTGAAGGCATCATAGATTATGAAGACATCAACATCCAGAGCGACGTAGAAAGTACAATGGACAACAACGGCAATCCGAATTTTGCAAGTAATCTGGCTTTTCTACCGCACACGCAACAACAAAACCAAGTAGAGACGAGTAGTGTAACAGGAGAACACACACCAAGGGAAATGCTAGATTCGCTGACACAACACAACATGCGCCAACCAAATCACATTTGGTGGACCTTTGGAAGATGTGTAAACCTTAACATATTTGGGTAGCAGCGTTGATGAGGAAAGTGGAACTGTCGTAGATGTGAAGGATAGGATCAGCAAAGCATATCTACAATTGAGGAACATCTGGAACCCAAAACACAACTATAAATCAACTGCTCAGCCAGAATTTCTCCACTGAAAATACTTCATATTCACTGGCCAGACATTATCAGCAATTGACTAATGTGGCAGAGAAAAAACCAAATTTCAGTGGAAGTAGAAAACAGGGAGAGGCACTAGAAGTAGATATGACACGCATTGAAGAAAGCACCCAAATACATCACAAAACAAGCCCTCACTCGGAACCCTCAAGGTCCAAACAAGAGAAAGGCCAAGGAATACATTACACTGAGAAATGGAGACGTATATTAGAAAGGGATGCACTAGTTGACTGTTAGTTCCATCAGACCGGAAGTAGATAGATTCCCGGATGTATATACGAATAATATCCTTCCAGATGCCGCAACCACTGTAACCTGAACAGTTTGTCTACGGAATTCGTTGAGAGGCATGTATACTACATGGCTGCTACATTGCAGCATGATTTTAATTAGGTAGTGTTTAGAGATATGGGGAATTATATCGTTCATCTCAAAATAATCACCCAAACAATACGCAATTGGACTAGCTGTGAAAGCAGAGACGATAGATTAATTTAAGTTTCCTGATGTTCTGGGGCATAGATAGGATGCTAGACTATACCTAACGGAGACTTATGAAAAAAAACCAAGATCAAACGCTGTTTCAGAATATCCGATGATTGGTTTTATTAAGTAGGAAGGAACACTTGATTTTTGAGAAATAAGTCAATATATTCTTACGACGCAATTAAACTAGTAGCTAATTCTACTACGACAGCTACTCATTTGAAATATCGACAAATCTAGATCAAAGCTTTTCAACTGATCAAAATATTGACTGTCTAATGCTGAAACAGCAAACTGTAAGACTTAAATGTAAGTGTGACCGTAAGTAGCGAGAACACACACATAAGATATACAGCACATATACGAACCGTAACAGCTACCTTAACGTGATGGTCGATTTTGCCTATCGTGACGACCAAACCGAGCTATATTGGCCGGTACACATGTTATTGTGGGTACTACCATGCCAGGCAGGTCCATTGCAGAGCGATGAGACTAAAAGCAGCTACTCAAGTTCTAAGGGCGAAGTCAACCTGCGGACTGTAAAGACGTCTGACAGCGGTAAGGTGTTTACCTTAGGTTCTCCAAAATCACTCCTCGGTGTGGGCAGAGAGAAAGTGACACGTCAGTCAGTCAGATGCAACGTAAAACTTAGTACGTAAGTACATCAGTTCATGTCGCCATACCACATTACAACACAGAGATGTAATTGTCAATTCAAATCCAATAGTAGAAGAGATAGTAAAGGTACTAGATGTAGTCGGAGAAGTTAGGATTAGAAGATATTATTCAAGAAGTATGATTTAGTGAGATAAGTTTAGAAAGTCAAAACTAGAGGTTTTGAAGAATCCAAAAGATTAGGATTTCAGAGAACACAAAGAATAAATGCACCGGCGACATTGCGAACGATTTTGAGCCATGTCATTCAAGATCTCTAGCCATCGATTATTATCATCTCGCGGACCCCAACCAGGTAGTCGACAATTACCGACATGGCTAAGTCCACTTGTCAATGACTTCATGGATTTCTGCCATGTCTTGGTTTGGCCGCCCCTAACTTTCTTCCAACCTATTCCTACAGTACAAAACAAAGCTCTTCGAGGCAGTCGGTAGGTTAGGCATACGCAGCACACATTCCAACCACCTCAACCGATGAAGTGTGTGTGAGACAGCGTGTGAGACCAAATTTTATACACAAATAAATCCTTCCTATTTGCCCTAAGGACTCACTTATCTCCACGACTAACTCTAACACGCTGTGCTACTAATGCAAACCATGCGAATTCATAAAACGTTATCCCTAGTCTCCTGAAAACACATCCTTCCCACTGAATTATACTTTTCGAATCATATCTTTGAATCCTAATCTTCTCTATTACTGCAAATACTTCTACTATCTCAATCAGTAAAGGATTTCAACTGACAGTTGCGCGTCTCCGTGCTAATGTGCTACGACAACCTCAACTTATATAATCATGTACGAAGTTCAGCGTACAACAAAATTACAAATGAACAGAATGAAAACCAAGTGAAAAAAACACATATCATTCATTTTAAATAAACTAATGTGTACATTATATAAACATCATCATTCTTGGAGCAGAAAATAAATATGATCCATTTCAAATTATTAAAATAAACTCATTTTTCTTATACAGTGTGCATAATAAAAAAGCGTATCAAAAATTACTTTTCATATCATCTATACAATTAAACAAAACCAATATAGACATACAGTTTTTAGTTTTGTGAACACTATAAATCTCATTGTACATATATAGATAGATATGTGGATAGATAGATAGATGTGTGGATAGATAGATAGATAGCTGAGTGGATAGATAGATAGATAGCTGAGTGGATAGATAGATAGATGTGTGGATAGATAGATGTATGGATAGATAGATGTGTGGACAGATAGATAGATAGCTGAGTGGATAGATAGATAGATGTGTGGATAGATAGATAGATAGCTGAGTGGATAGATAGATAGATATGTGGATAGATAGATAGATAGCTGAGTGGATAGATAGATAGATGTATGGATAGATAGATAAGTGGACAGATAGATAGATATGTGGATAGATAGATAGATAGCTGAGTGGATAGATAGATAGATGTGTGGATAGATAGATAGATATGTGGATAGATAGCTGAGTGGATAGATAGATAGATGTGTGGATAGATAGATGTATGGATAGATAGATGTGTGGACAGATAGATAGATAGCTGAGTGGATAGATAGATAGATATGTGGATAGATAGATAGATGTGTGGATAGATAGATAGATGTGTGGATAGATAGATGTGTGGTTAGATAGATAGATATGTGGATAGATAGATAGATAGATAGATGTATGGATAGATAGATGTGTGGACAGATAGATAGATATGTGGATAGATAGATAGACAGATGTGTGGATAGATAGATAGATGTGTGGATAGATAGATGTGTGGTTAGATAGATAGATATGTGGATAGATAGATAGATAGATGTGTGGATCGATAGACAGATAGATAGTTAGTTAGTTAGATAGATAGATATGTGGATGGATAGAGAGATAGATAGATTTGAACAACACAAGAACCAATAGTTTCCCTGAGCCAATAATTAATTAATTAATTAATTAATTATAATTAATTATTAATTAAATCAAAATCAGGAAATATTAACTCTTTTGGACATGGTGCATTATTACTTGACAATAATAATACAGGATTAGCATTGGTTGGATGATTTAAACAATTTGGTGATTGAAAAAACCATTGTAACAATTCATTTTTACATAAATAATTATGAAATAGAAATTTCGGATAATTATTATTACTTGATAATAATGATAATTGTTGTGCATGTTGTTGAAGTCGTGTATAATTTAATGCAGGACAATTGATAAATTCCATGGATGGATTCATACATAGACGAATTTCAGCTAATTTGGCTGGTGTACGCTAAACAAACACACACACACACAGAAATGTAGAGAGAGAGAGACAAATGAATCAGCATGATTACAATAAAAAGCAGAAAGTTTCAAAGACATGTTTTCCCCTTATTGTGATATACATTATGTTGTAACGCTTTGCTTGAATAATTCCCAGCTAAATCCTATTGCTTAGTATTCACTGGCCACACAATACACTGGACAAGTGTTCCGAAGAATCAAAAACACGGTGGAACATGAAAAGATTATATTTCCGAATAGCAAAGTTAAATGGAAATACGAAGGCGAAGGCAAAAAATAGATATACGTTAGATTCTTTATAGTATTTTCATAAGAAGCTTCTGGAAAGTAATTCACGAGATCGACTGGATTAGATTTGGTCAATCAGCATGCAGCTGACAACACGAGAATTTTCAAACCCTGTTCTCCAATACTCAATCAGCCGCGCTGATTGGATAGGAAATTAGCCAATCAGCGCGCAGCAACTTAGTCATGCTTTAATTCCAGCTATTTTGGGGCAGAGTTTTGGAGGTTTGTGATTTTACACATTTGAAATCATCAATCAATCATTATTAGACCAACATTAGAAACCTGGAAGCACTGGATGGCCGTTTCGTCCTGGTATGGTGGGACTAATCAGCAATCCGCATCCGTATAGTGTCGTAAATATATAATTAGCTTTTTGTATTACTATGTATGTTTAAGTAAACTGTGAATTAAATGACAAACTACATACAGTTGAATATCAAACAAACGAATTTTCATGTGTACAAACATGTTTATCTCTATTTTTGAGGTGAACAACATTCTTTTTACACATTTGAAATCATCAGTAAATCAATCATTGTTAGAGCACCATTAGGGACCTGGAAGCACTGGACGGACGTTTCGTCCTGGTATGGGACTGACTCATCAGTGGCAGTGCGCATCTGCGAATCCTGCACCTCACAGGATTCGAACCCGGGACCTTCGGTATTGTGCGCGAACGCCTAACCATCGGACCGCTGTGCCGGCCGGCATCCAACGGTGTTAATGTCTAACTCTGACTGATCTAGGGATTTTGCGCGACCTCACTCATTTGTCTTTGCTAGTTACTGCCTACACCCGACAGGGTTGAACTCCATTGATCACGTCTTCTCAACTAGAACTCCGAGAATTTCCTCACGAAGCTAGTCACAAGTGAGCACTGTTACGATATTTTGGGGCAGAGTTTTGGAGGTTTGTGTTTTTACACATTTGAAATCATCAATCAATCTATGTTTCACTAACACATTAAAACGTGGAATAAAAACAGATTCTCATTAGGCTGCTAGTAATCTATGATTGACCATAAACTGATCAAACGAAATAAGCCGGTCAGAGAAATGAAATTTCTGGTGTAAATTTGAGGTGAATGACATAATTTTATATTTTGATATAACAGTGAGAAGACCTATTGAAGAGGCTTGTATTGCAGTGGACAAAAACTGTCTAATATTAAGACAGAGACTAAAAGCAGCCATAGAGAAAACATACAACGCTGCTAAACTGATTATCATTGAAAAGATCAAGTCCATGATTTCACATATACCTAAACGTTGCTCGAATGATTACGTCACATCCCATTGCATTTATCAATTTACATGTTTGTCTGGGTACACATACATAGGGAGGAGTAATCGGACTTTGTAATCAAGGGTACAAGTGGCTTGAAAATCAGTCAGATGAGCCGATTAACGTTTGAAATAGAAAACCATGTTCATCGATCGCAAAAACACATAATTGAGACAGGGTACAAGTAAGATTGACATCAAGACAGCCTTCAAAACATTGTATAGAAATGTAACAGTGCTCACTAGTGACTAGCTTCGTGAGGAAATTCTCGGAGTTCTAGTTGAGAAGACGTGACCAGTGGAGTTCAACCCTGTCGGGTGTAGGCAGTAACTACCAAAGACAAATGGGTGAGGTCGCGCAAAATCCCTAGATCAATCAGAGTTAGACATTAACACCGTTGGATGCCGGCCCAGTGGTCCGATGGTAAGGCGTTCGCCTACAATGCCAAAGGTCCCGGGTTCGAATCCTGCGAGGAGCAGGAGTCGTGGATGCGCACTGCTGAGGAGTCCCATACTAGGACGAAACGGCCGTCCAGTGCTTCCAGGTTTCTAATGGTGGTCTAACAATGATGATTGATTAATGATTTCAAATGTGTAAAAACGCAAACCTCCAAAACTGTGCCCCAATATATTGTATAGAAATGTTGAAGAACGAATTTTGAGGTTTATGGAGGCCTTGGCTATTAGAAAATTAAAACCCCCTTTATGTGTGCAAAAACAATTTGTCATAACCTTGAATTTACACTGGTAATCTTTAAGCCTAGGGTAATGTGACAATTTTCCTACCCCTCTTATTATTCTTTTCATATTACGTTAATTTTCTCTCCCCTTTATTTACAATTATCATCACCTTATGTCTATTTGAACTTCGTTTTTAATTGACCTTTTATTCATCTTCATATAAAATGCCTTGACAAGTGAATATGTGTATGACCAGATTGTTCGAAATGTATGAGGCGCGAATACATCACACTAGTTTTCAGATCAATTACGTCTTCTCACTGTTCTATCAAAATTTATCAAAAAGGAACTAATTGTTTTAAATAATCTTATATGATGTGAACACCACCACCAATGGTCCAAGTGAGAATGTGATTTTCATTGTGACATGTTTGATACATCCGAAACAGAAAATATTCATGCAGGATTATGGTCGATTGCATGGTTAGCATCTTCCAAAGATGAAAGTGCTGAGAGATTCGAAGAATTAGCGAATGAACTAAAAAATAACAATCTCTTAATTACGTAACAAACAATCATCCTAAACACATTCATCAAATTTACATTACGACTTCCTCCTCTACAGCTGACGTGTTTGAAATTCCACTCATCAATCAACAGATATTCAAGTTAGTTAGGGGCGACCAAACCAAAACATGGCACAAATCCATGAAATCATTGACGAATGGACTTAGCCATGTCGGTAATTGTCGACTACCTGGTTGGGGTTCGCGAGAAGATAATAATCGATGAATAGAGACCTTGAATGACATGGCTCAAAATCGTTCGCAATGGCGCCAGTGCATTTATTCTTTGTGTTCTCTCAAATCCTAATCTTCTGGATTCTTGAACCCCTCTAGTTTTGACTTTCTAAATTTTTCTCACTGAATCATACTTCTTGAATAATATCTTCTAATCCTAACCTCTCCGATTACTTCTAATACCTTTACTACCTCTTCTACTATTGGATTTGAATTGACAATTATATCTCTGTGCTGATGTGGTATGGCGACATGAACTGATGTACTTACGTACGAAGTTCTACGTTGCAACTGACTGAATATCTCATCCTAACGTCTCCGACTACTTCTAATACCTTTACTACCTCTTCTACTATTGTATTTGAATTGACAATTAAATCTCTGTGCTGATGTGGTTAAAGCAATATGAACTGATGTACTTACGTACGAAGTTCTATGTTGCAACTGACTGACTGACTGAGATATTCCAGTGAACTGAATTCATAACTGGAACTACCACGTCATTACTTTCTACGTCCGCAAATATGTTCAATTTTGTCAAAAATCATTTCTATTTGTAACCATGAATCGATCAATGTTAGACCACCATTAGAAACCATTAGAAACACCGTCAGATACCGGCTCAATAGTCTAACTGTCAGGGCGTTCGCGCACAATACCCAAGGTCACAGGTTCGATTCCTGCAGGGTGCAAGAGTCGTGGATGCACACTGCCACTGATGAGTCAAGTCCCATACCAGGACGAAACGGCCGTCCAGTGCAGGTTTCTAATGGTGGTGGTCTAACATTGATCGATTCAGTCATGGTTACAAATAAAACCTAACAATCTTCATCACAACAACCACGCAATGAATAAATCATTTCTTTCATTTAATAATATTTCACAAACATTGTAAAAAACATATACACACCAATTTATGGACAATGAAAAATGACTACTTACATGTTTTAAATAACAATAAATTATAACATCGACATTGAATAAACTTTTCAATTGATCAAGCAATATATCTCGCTATGAAAACAGACAAAGAGAAGAAGATGAATAAAATTGTAGATTTGTTATGAGTAGACAATAATGATTTCTCCAAAGATAATTTATTACAGATATTCTATGAGTGAGACCAAGAAAATTTTTATTCAGACATAACTAATAATAAACAATTGACCTAGTCAGTCAGTTAGTTGCAACGTAAGAACTACGTACGTGTATGTACATAAGTTCATGTTGTCATACCACATTATTAGCACAGAGACATAAATGTCAAATCAAATCCCATAGTGATAAAGATAGGAGAGGTATTAATGGTAATGAAGAACAACAGGGTTCGAAGATATTATTCAAGAAATATAATTCAGTGAGATAAGGTTAGAAAGACAAAGGTAGAGATGCTGACGAATCCAGAAGATTAGGATTTGAGAGAGCTTAAAGAGTGGATGCACCTGCGCCATTGCAAACAATTTTGAGCCATGTCGTTCAAGGTCTCTAACCATTGGTGACTTTCGTCTCGCGGACCCCAACCAGGTAGTCTACATCTACCAACATGACTCAGTTCACTTGTCAGTGACTTCATGGATTTCTGCCATGTTTTCGTCTGGCCGCCCCTAAGGTCTTTCAACATACTCCTACACCACAAAACATAGCTCGTCGAGGCAGTCGGTGGTTAGTCATACGTAACACATATCCCAACCACCTCTACCGATGAAGTTTCATTACTTCATCTATTGATCTGCCATTCTTATCTAGTACTCGTTTCCTAACGACAGCATTGCTTACTCGGCTGTCCCACGATATACGACCGATGCTTCCTAAACATCTATGATCGAATACTAGTAACCTACGAACATCTTCTACTCTTAACGGCCATGTTTCACAGCCATATAAGAGAACGCAACGAACTGCTGCGCAGTACATCCGCCCTTTGGTTAGCGAACGGATATCACGCCTACGCCATAAGTGACGCAGGTTGGCAAAAGCCAATCGAGCCTTCTGTATCCGAGCTGAGATTTCGTCAGTCACCAGGCCATCAGCACTGATGAGACTCCCAAGATAAGTGAAGTGATCAACACGCTCGACTACTTCACTCACTATCACTAGTTCAGGTGCCGATGCAACCCAGTCTTGAAGCAACATTTAGCATTTCCAGGGGGAAAACCGCAGCCCGAACATGCTAGCATTGTTGCTTATGGTAGTCAGAAGACTCAGCATTTTTTCAGAGTCTTCACCGTATAGAACTATGTCATCGGCATATTCTAGATCAGTAAGCGAATTTCAAGGTAGAAGGTCAACCCCTGAAAAATCTAACGAGCTTAATGTTAACTCTAAGAGGATGTCTACGACAAAGTTAAACAAGAATCGATAGAGAAACATTGACCCAATTTATAAACCAATCAGAAAAATTCTAGGCAACATAGGATTAAGAAACCGATCAAAACGTTGGATACAATCAAAACAAAGGTACAAACAACCACAGGTTTGAAGTGAACAACAATCAATCAAGATCAAGGTTAACAGAATAAGTGACAGGTCAAAAAAAAACAATGGGAATACTTCGAATACTTCACTTCTATTTGAAATTGGTGCAGATAATTGTTGTTGAGACGAACAATGCTTGCTAGTGAGACTAGCTCCCAAAAATGTCAGTTCATAAGTTCAAGTGGAAAGTTATGACTAGAGGGCATTGTAAGCCAAGTAGGCTGTGAGATAATTACTCATTGATGGTAAAATAGATGAATTATTGCCCAGCACCACTGGTTGATAAAAGTTTTCAAGTTTCAATGACGGTAATCTAGCTAAGATTTAAATTGTGAAAATATTCAAATTTATCGCGCATAGAAGAAAGAGGTAAATAGAGAATTATGTCACAAATCCATGAAGTCACTGACAACTGGACTGAGTCATGATGATAAGTGTAGACTACCTGATTGGGGTCCGCAAGATGATAATAGTACATGGCTCAAAACCGTTTGCAATGGCGCAGGTGTATGAGCTCTTTGTGTTCTCTGAAATTCTATTCTAATCTTCTTCATTATGGCTAATACTTCTACTATCTCTAATCACTATTTAACTGGAACTGACAGTTGAGCCGCGGTGCTAATGTGATAATGCAAACCTGAACCTATGTACGTATATACAAGATTGAATGTTGTAACTGACTGACACTGTATCGAAATTGTTGTTTCCATACAGGGGATCGTTGGTAATAATAGTGCTTGCCGTGAATTGCGTATAGCTGAACTTTTGTCTATATCATCAACATACAAGGTTAACTTGGTATGTTGGAAACAACCGTGACATCATATTGTGAAATCATTCATTACCTGTTAGTGTGTTCCTTGCTGATAGATGTAGGCTAACAACTTGTTATAAAACATAAGCTAACTGTGATCAGTAGCCGAAAACATTGAATGAAATAGCGTAGAATTAGTCACATTGACAAAGAGACATTTATACTGTCTTTCGATATAATTTCATTTCCATCCTTCTTTTATAAATATACACATACCGACATGGTACGAAATATTTTCTCAAAATCAATTTATTGACCAGTCGTCATATTAATTTGAACTTAAACTGTGTTAATGTGATTCGCCGAATCGAATGCAGATAGATAGATGGTCAGTGTTGCAACAGACTGACTGACTTTGTAGCTCTAGACCACCTACCTAAACAAACGCAAGCAAAAAAATGCAAGATCCTCCGATACAACAACAACATCATGCATAGAGACCTGAACAGCAGCAGTGATAAACAAAGTGAATGGCAAGCCGATGTACAGACGTGGATTAGACATGTAGAGGCAGATACAATTAGCAATCACCAACTTTCAGCGAGAGAGAGAGTCAGTCAGTCAGTCAGATGCAACGTAGAACTACGTAAGTAAGTACATCAGTTCATGCCGCCATACCACATCAGCACAGAGATGTAATTGTCAATTCAAATCCAATGGTAGAAGAGATAGTAAAAAGGCATTAGAAGTAATCGGAGAAGTTAGGATTAGAAGATATTATTCAAGAAGTATAATTCAGTGAGAAAAATTTAAAAAGTCAAAAATAGAGGTGTTGAAGAATCCAGAAGATTAGGATTTGAGAGAACACAAAGAATAAATGCACTGGCGCCATTGCGAACGATTTTGAGTCATGAGAGAGAACAAATCATAGGCGAGCTGAAGAACAAATTACGAATAAGTCAAGGAGAAGATAGACCACATCTTGAAGAAATCACCGGACCGCGTCACAAGGCCAAAAGGAAAACGAAATAGATTGAGGAACACTGTACTTCAGGACATAAGAAGAATCAATAACAATCGAGAAGGATGGTGTAGGACCAAATAAGTTGGAAAATGTTGGTCGGCAGCCTGTGCTCCTTTAGGGGTAATATCAGCGCATTTATGACAGGCTCAATGCGCTTATTACAAAAGACTTAAAAACTGACCAATTTCAATTATTATACAACTAACCTTCAAAGTAACCATATTATTTGGCGTGATTTTAACTGATTCAAGACGTCTGAAAGATAAATCAGAATGAAACTTACAGTTATGTTTACACATGAATTAGTCAAATGTACACAGATAACCAGTTATGTGTACATTTAGATGAAAATTGTGAAAATATCTTATATAGGAAACCAAAAAAAAATTACATTGTTCACGTCTTCTCAACTAGAACTCCCTGTAGGCAGTGTAGGCAGTAACTACCAAAGAAAAATGAGTGAGGACGCGTAAAAATCCGTAGATCAATCAGAGTTAGACATCAACACCGTTGGATGCCGACCGGCCCAATGGTCCGATGGTTAGGCTTCCGAGCACAATACCGAAGGTCCCGGGTTCGAATCCTATGAGGTGCAGGAGTCGTGGATGCGCACTACTGATGAGCTAGTCCCATACCAGAACGAAACGTCCGTCCAGTGCTTCTAGGTTTCTAATGGTGCTCTAACAATGATTGATTGATTGATTTCAAATGTGTAAAAAGAATATTGTTCACCTCAAAAATAGAGATAATCATGTTTGTACACATGGAAATTCGTTTGTTTCATATTCAACCAAATGTAGTTTGTCATTTAATTCACAGTTTACTTAAACATACATAGTAATACAAAAAGGTAACTATATATTTACGGCACTAGACAAATCACTGAATCGGTATGTGATCTAGGAATATGTCGAAGGGCACAAACCTAAACAGAAAAGACTCCACAAGCCACTTCATGAAACTTAGATATACAGGTATCATCGAATAGGAGATATGGTCCCATCGTAGCAGATTACCGGTCACTGGGTTTATATGCCGCCCATCCCACCAAGAACCTGAAGTCCATGTAGAATATTAATAAAGAATCCAAGTTTCCCAACTTCACTAGATAGATTGAGTGATTCTATGAACGCAACAACCCAATTTAAGCTCCAAACATCCAGTCAATCTCGCAAAAAAGCAACTACATCGGCTCACAAAAAGACAGTGAGTAGGCGCGCCAGTGACTAAATATAAATGAGTCAGTACATCCTAAATTCTGATATATTGAGTCAACTATAAGTTAGTTAAAATAAGATCATTTCATGATAATCAAAAATTCTTACTTCATTAAATTCACTTTCGATTTGATCACTAGTGACATATTGAAATAATCGAATTCATTTGAGATGTATGGTGCATCACTGATTGCACACACTCCATGTTTGCTCCATTCATGTTGCCTTGAGAGAAAAAAAAAGAAAATTAAAACAAACACATCAGTTGTGTAAACACTCACACACACACACACAAATGACGTGCAGCGAAAGCCACGACTGTAGCTGCTACCTTGACGAGGTGGTAGTGGTCGGGCTTGCCTATCGTGAGGACTCGATCGAACTATATTGGCTGCAATATATGTTCCTGTAGGTTCTACCATGCCAGGTTTGAAGGAGAAGTCGTACTGCTGACTGCAGAGGGATGTTACGGGCAGTTAGGTATTTCCTTCGGACAACCAGCATATGCAACGATGCTGCCTTCCCACAAGGAAGGAAGGGTAAGAAGAGTTCGACCCGGATTTCGGACTCCGGCGTTAAGGCCTTTTAAAGAAGAACGAAGTTAACACTTTAAATACTACTACGGCAGTGCGTGACCGGACTCGAGCAGTTGTCCCATAGGCTCTGAGGTCACGCTACCAGGTCTCTAAGACCAACACTAATCTACCTAACTTTTCAGGTCTCTAAAGAAGCACTCTTACACGGTATGAGCAGCCGGAAAGTGACATCCGCCCTCATACCTGTACTAGCACACAAGACCAAATTGGTAAGAATCAAATCCGAACATCCCCCTTATCTTCACGATCAACTCTTCTCACATTCCTGTATCACCCCGCACCGCTAATGCAAGCGATTCGAGTTCCAGAAACGTTATTCCTGGTCCCTTGAAACCTCATTCTAAACTACATGTTGGAGCATTTAGTGTATGGACATTGTGTCAAATAGGTCAACAGGCTTCATTAGCTGGAACCTAAGAATCTCACTCAATTGACGTTGAATGACATGGATCAAAATCGCTTGTCGTGGACCAGGTCTATCTGTTGTTTGTTTTCCCTCCAAATTCCAAGTTTCTAAATTCATCACGACAATTCTTAGTTTTCTCGAGTTTTATCATCGATCTTTAATCTTTTCCATTACTATCCATACTACTAATACTACTTCTAGTAGTCTCTTCTTGTAGCCTCATAATATCACCTCACTGTGCCATTGTGGCAAACTTGAGAAGAATCATTCTATCGATTACTGGCACTTGCAATCATAAAAAATTCGAACTGCCGAATAATCTAGGGTACAGCCAATACAAATGCTCTCACCTGGCCACATGTTGTATGCTACCAGAAAAGTACCGCTTAGTGCTTTTCACTCAGCGAAATGGAAAGCACCAAAAGCGAATATCTGACGCTTAAACCTGAATATAAGGTACATATGATCCATGAACAGGAATTAGAAAATCCTCACTTCAAAATAATACTGTGCATAACCACCATGATCCTTAGGAAGCAGATGACGTATGAACTGATTTTCGGTGACCGGCTACCATGAGAACACTGTATCGCTTAATGTCATTCTACTACCTGCTTTGTAGATTGGACCGCTAGATCAAAGGCTACAAAAGTGGCGCACTGAGAGAATCATCTGTACTCAGTCAGTAGTATCCCAACACAGCTCAATTAAAAAAATTCAATAATCTAGATGGTACATAAACATTAGGGTACCACCAGAACGCCCCACCACCCCCCGCATTGTACATGCTTAAACGAACTGAATCCATTGCCAAGATCGGTTAACGCACGCAAATAGTATACAATCAATCATCTTACCAAAAAGCTTCTGGCTTATCAAAATCATCTAAATTTGCCCATTGTTTCTGTAATTCATTATAAATAGGCTACAAAAAAAAATGAAGTAGAGAAAATAGGAATTACAACCATGAACTTAATGAATAAGATTGAATGCTTTCTAAATGGATCATCACACGTCAATAAGATATAACATTCATCTAAACATTAGAGAAACTGTATTGCCCTATACACTATCTAGTATCACTGAAGTATCACTGCAAACCGATTATTCCGACTTTAACTACATGAATTGCAGAGAAATAACTTTTTTTTTCACCGACTGCTTCGATACACTATGGTTTTAATGGTGTAGGAGTAGGTTTGGAAGAAGAATGCTAAAGCTGACCAAACCATAGCATGGAGTGAGTCCATGAAATCACTGACAAATGGACTGAGTCATGTTGGTTAGATGTAGACTAGTTTGGTTGGGGTTCGCAAGACAATAAGTAATTGAATAATATCTTCGAACCCTAATCTTCTATATTACGGCTAATACTTCCAGTATTTCTATCACTAGGAGATTTGAACTGACAGATGCGTCTCTGTGCTAATGCAGTACGGTAACCTGAGCTTATATACCTTCTACTTTATAACTGAACGATTGACTTTTTCACAGATTGGGCATTTCGTTCAATATTGTGTGTTTAGTAAACTCCGCCTGAAGCCACTGTCAGGTTTCCTATTGGTTCTAAAACCGGATAAAGGAGGAAAGTTGAGTTTGAGGGCATTAGCGAACCCATTTTGTATAAAAACCAACTAGCTAAAAATCGCTAACCAGTAAGAATAATTCAAAATGTTTAATCACTGCTCCGACAGTATTTGGAAGGTCTTTGTTTAGTAGGGTTATGACGTCACATGACGTCACGAGGCCGACATGCCCTTACTACCACCGACAAGGAAAGCATTATTATAAGTACATAAAAAAAATTAAGGCCCAGTAGAGAGTAGGAGGTAGGGGGAATGCTGGTCACCGGCCTTCTGCTGCAGCAGTATAAGGGAAACAGGTGTAAAAAATGTAGGTGAGGAGTAAGTCATATGTTGATCACAATATAGGAAGCCCAGAATAGTAATTATTAACAAGTCAATTCATACTATTAAATCAAAAAGAATACATCTTCGAATTCTTGAATAAATGAACACAATAGTCAGTCAGTTGCAACGTAGAACTTCGTACGTATGTACATAGGTTCATGTTGCCATACCACAGCACAGAGACGCAAATGTCAAATCAAATCCCATTGTGATAAAGATATTAGAGGTATTAATGTTAATAAAGAAGACTAGGGTTCGAAGATATTATTCAAGAAATATAATTCAGTGAGATAAGGTTAGAAAGACAAAGGTAGAGATGCTGATGAATCCAGAAGATTAGGATTTGAGAGAGCTTAAAGAGTGAATGCACCTGCGCCATTGCAAACAATTTTGAGCCATGTCATTCAAGGTCTCTAACCATTGATGACTTTCGTCTCGCGGACCCCAACCAGACAGCCTACATCTACCAACATGACTCAGTTCACTTGTCAGTGACTTCATGGATTTCTGCCATGTTTTCGTCTGGCCGCCCCTAACTTTCTTCCAACCTACTCCTACATTACAAAACAAAGCTCGTCGAGGCAGTCGGTGGTTCGGCATACGCAAGACATGTCCCAACCACCTCAACTGATGAAGTTTCATTACTTCATCTATCGATCTGCCATTCTTATCTAGTACTCGTTTCCTAACGACAGCATTGCTTACTCGGCTGTCCCACGATATACGACCGATGCTTCTTAAACATCTATGATCGAATACTAGTAACCTACGAACACCTTCTACTCTTAACGGCCGTGTTTCACAGCCATATAAGAGAACGGAACGAACTGCTGCGCAGTACATCCGCCCTTTGGTTAGCGAACGGATATCACGCCTACGCCATAAGTGACGCAGGTTGGCAAAAGCTAATCGAGCTTTCTGTATCCGAGCTGAGATTTCGTCAGTCACCAGGCCATCAGCACTGATGAGACTCCCCAGATAAGTGAAGTGATCAACACGCTCGACTACTTCACTCACTAGCACTAGTTCAGGTGCCAATGCAACCCAGTCTTGAAGCAACATTTAGCATTTCCAGGGGGAAAACCGCAGCCCGAACATGCTAGCATTGTTGCTTATGGTAGTCAGAAGACTCAGCATTTTTTCAGAGTCTTCACCGAATAGAACTATGTCATCGGCATATTCTAGATCAGTAAGCGACTTTCCAGGTAGGTCAACCCCTGAAAAATCTGACGAGCTTAATGTTAACTCTAAGAGGATGTCTACGACAAAGTTAAACAAGAATGGACAGAGTGGACAGAAATGAACACAATAAATTCGTAGTTATTTTTTCTTCCAAAAATAAAAAATAAAAAACGAATTCCAATTAACGTACCTGGATTGTTTCAACTTGAAAAGGTTGATCAGTTGGACAATTCGGATTACCACGTGGCCATTTACTGGGCCTAATCCATGCAGAAATAATAAAAATAATAATAGGTAAACGTTTATCCAACAACATGAGTGCGTTCGACACTTAAATCTAGAAGAGACTGTAAACGCTATTTCCAAACCAATGGCGGTGATGTATAAGTAGTGTTCTAGGATACTTTAGGTACAAACGGAGTACGAACTTATTATTGTTAGTCACCAACGAACAACCAAAGAACAACATCATCTCCCTACATCACTCCACTAGCTTGTGGATTAGAGATCAGATGACAGACAGCCTGCTACTATATGAAATCCATGTACGTCCATTCGGGCACCCGAACAGGTAAGCCTTGATAAGTATGTGAAGCATATATATTTAAGTATCCTTTTATACCAATGATTATGCACTGAAAGATAAAACTACATGAATATCTCAATGTTCAAGTCAGTGTTTCTGTTGATTTTTCAATAGAGTTGGACATGTCAAGAGATGTACAACATAGTTGCCATACCACGTCAGCACAGAGACGCAACTGTCAGTTCAAATCCAAGAGTGATAGCGATAGCAGAATTATAAGCAGTGATGGAAAATTTTAGGGAGCGAAGATATAATTTGAGAAGTATAGTTCAGTAAAATAAATTTAGAAGGAGCAAGGTAGAGATTATGAGGAATTCAGAAGGTTAGAATTAAAAAGCACACAAAGAATGGATGCACCTGCGCCATTCCAAACGATGCTGAATCATGTCCTTCAAGTTCTCTAACCAATCGGTGACTTTCGTTTCGCGGACCCCAACCAGACAGCCTACATCTGTCAACATGACTCAGTTCACTTGTCAGTGACTTCATGGATTTCTGCCATGTTTTGGTTTGGCCGCCCCTAACTTTCTTCCAACCTACTCCTACACCACAAAACATCACTCGTCGAGGCAGTCGGTGGTTGGGTATATGTAACACATGTCTCAACCACCTCAACTGATGAAGTTTCACCACTTCATCTATTGATCTACCATCCTTACCTAGAACTCGTTTCCTAACGATAGCATTGCTTACTCAGTCGTCCCAGGATACACGAGCGATGCTTCGGAGACACCGATGATAGAAAACTAGTAACCTAAAAAGTCCTCTACTGTTAACGGCCATGTTTCGCTTTCGTATAGTAGGACAGAGCGAACTACTACTGCGCAGTAAACTCGTCCTTTGATTAACAAACGGATATCTCGCCTGCGCCATAAGTGACGCAGGTTTACCAAAAGCCAATCGAGCCTTCTTGTTTAACACACACACACACACACACACAACATGTGTGTACAAATGATCAAGACAAATACAATGTATGTCATCTCTATAAACTTACCATAGTCCATGAATATTGAAATCATTCATTTTGTAAGGCAGTTTACACTGGAAATACAGAAATGTTTACATATATAATTTAATCGACAAATCATTTTGAAAAATGTTCATCAACATGATCTATTTAAATTATCAATATTCCAGTGAATAACATCAAACTAAACTAAAACAAAAAGAATTATATTGTAACTTCTTCGACGATGATGCACTGATTCAATGTGTCAAAATGCATAAGTCATGTCAGTCAGTCAGTCAGATGCAACGTAGAACTTCGTACGTAAGTACATCAGTTCATGTCGCCATACCACATTAAAACACAGAGATGTAATTGTCAATTCAAATCCAATAGTAAAAGAGATAGTAAAGGTATGAGAAGTAATCGAAGACGTTAGGATTAGAAGATATAATTCAAGAAGTATAATTCAGTGAGATAAGTTTAGAAAGTCAAAACTAGAGGTGTTGAAGAATCCACAAGATTAGGATTTGACAGAACACAAAGAATAAATGCACCGGCGCCACTGCAAACGATTTTGAGCCATGTCATTCAAGGTCTCTAACCATCGATTATTATCATCTCGCGAATCCCAACCAGGTAGTCGACAATTACCAACATGACTCAGTCCACTTGTCAGTGACTTCATGGATTTCTGCCATGTTTTGGTTTGGCCGACCCTAGCTTTCTTCCAACCTATTCCTACAGTACAAAACAAAGCTCTTCGAGGCAGTCGGTGGTTAGGCATACGCAACACATGTCCCAACCACCTCAACTGATGAAGTTTCACTACTTCATCTATTGATCTTCCATTCTTACCTAGCACCCGATTCCTAATAACAGCGTTGCTCACTCGGGTGTCCCACCATATACGAGCAATGCCTCGAAGACACCAATGATCGAAAACCAATAACCGACGAGTATCTTCTACTCTCATTGGCCATGTTTCACAGCCATAAAGTAAGACGGAGCGAACTACTGCGCAGTACACTCGTCCTTTAGTCAGCAAACGGATATCTAGCCTGCGCCATAAGTGACGCAGGTTGGCAAAAGCTAATCGAGCCTTCTGTATCCGAGCTGAGATTTCGTCAGTCACCAGGCAATCGGGACTGATGAGACTCCCAAGATAAGTGAAGCGGTCTACACGTTAGACTACTCCACTCCCTATCACTACTTCAGGTGCCGATGCAACCCAGTTTTGAAGCAACATTTTGCATTTGAAGGGGGAAAACCGCATCCCGAACATGCTAGCATTGTTGCTTAGGGTGGTCAGAAGACTCTGCATTTTGTCAGCGTCTTCAGCAAGTAGGACTATGTCATCGGCATAAGTCATGTGCTTCTGGGCGTTTTTTTAGCAAGTTGGTTCTCTACGAGATGAGGTCACTGACCAGCATTTAATTTTCCTCCTTTATGCCGGTCGGTCACAGGTGTGTCTTCTCTGTGCACGATGCTACTACTAATCCCAACATCATAAATTCAGTTGTCAGTGACTTCATAGATTTGCAAACATGTTTTGGTTTGACCAGCACTATGTTTCGTCCAATCTACGCGCCTACACCACAAAACATAGCTCGTCCAGGCAATCGGTGGTTGGGCGTTTGTAACACATGTCTCGACCACCACCTCAAGTGATGCAGCTTCATTACTTCACCTATTGATCTGCCATCCTTACCCAATACCCGCTTCCTGACGATAGCATTGCTTACCCGATTGTCCCAGGATATAACAACAATGCCTAGGAGACAACTATGATCGAAAAACAGCAACCTACGAATATACCGTACTCTTACGGCTACGTTCCACAATATTGTAGCACGACAAAGAAAACTGCTTCGCAGTAGACTCGTCTTTTAGTAAACAAACGGATATCTCGCCTACACCGTAAATGACGAAAGTCGGCGAAAGCCGATTGAGATTTCGTCACACACCTGGCCATCAGCAATAATGAGACTGCCGAGATAAGAGAATCGGTCAACACACTGAACTACTTCACTCCACATCAATAGCTCAGGTGCCGACGCAAGCAAATCCTAAAGTAACATTTTGCATAGTCAGAAGACTGCATTTTGTCAGCGCCTTCACCAAATAGAACTACGTCATCGGCATATACTAAGTGAACCAATGAATCTACTGGTAGAAGGTCAAATCTAGAAAATTCAGACGAAGATAATATATATCTAGAAGCATGTCTATGATAAATTAAACAAGAATGGAGAAAGTGGACATTCCTGACAGAAACCACCTCAAGTAATCAATTCCGATGACATTTCACCATATGCTATAACTCGACCTCTGGTCTTCGAGTAGAGAGCTTTGACAAGGTGAATGTACTTTTCTGGTACACTGCTACGAAAACTCACGATCAACAAAGTCGATTGCTGCTTCAAGGTCCAGGAAGACTAATATCGCCTAAATGTGTTTCCGTGTTCCAAGACCTGTCGTAGTTTGAAAATATGGTCTATGCAGCCACGTCCAGCCTAGTTTCCACGAGTCTACTCTTCAAGAGCTCTAGTTCGGCGTCGAACTATTGTCGAGGCTAACAATTCAGACACTATATTAATTACACTGATTACCCTGTGAAAGGTTTTCCGTAAGATCTATCATTTATCATGTCCCAGCTGCAGTCGGTGGGAGTGTCGGCAAATATGACGAAGAGGCAACCAGTGTTCCTATCTTTGTGGACAAACGACTATCAACTGGAATCCAGTCTAAGAGAGCTAGTTTTGCCCTAGGACCCGATGCTATACCTATGACAGCGAGGCCAAGGGAAGCAGCGTAAACCGAGTTGGTTCCTAATTTGGACAAGATGAGGTCAAATTATTGATCCTGCCAGAATCCTGTTTCCGCATTTCAGGGACGCAATATACATCGAAAGCATGAGATTGCACAGTCTAGCAAGGGAAGCCTGTTGACATATTCGACACATTAAAAGCTCCTACACATGTAGTTTGGAGTGAAGTTTCAGAATACTAGCAATAACGTCTCGTGAATTAAAAACGTTTCCATCAGCAGCGCTAGTGGGAGAAGAAATGGAAGAACGGTTTGTCGTGGAGATAAGAGAGTTACTAGCAGGTGTAGGAAGGATTTGATTATGACCGACTTAGTCTCACTTGCTTTTACAGGTATGAGGGAGGATATCACTTTTTGGCTGCCCACACCGTGGAAGGGTATTTCTTGACGAACCTGTAGAAGAAATCGGACCACCGTTGGTCTGGGCAACCTGGGAGCGTGACTGCAGAGCTCCAAGAGCACCTGCATGAGGCCGGTCATGCACGGCTATTTTATGGGACGATTGTACATTGTTAACTCCGCTCTTCGAATGGCCCTACCGCTGAAGACGGAAATCTGTGAGGTGAGGTGGAGTATGACATCTTTAGGGTTGATCTTTTCAAGTTCCTTGCTTATGAAGTGGCATCGCTGCAGGTGCTGGTTGTTCGAAGGAAACACCTTAATGTCCTCACATGTCACCTTTAGACACAAGTTACTGTCTTTAGTATTAACGTTCTCCAATCGACCTGCCTGGCATCGTTGAACCCACAGAAATATATTTTCCAGCTCAGTTGGGTTGTCACGATCGGTAAGCCCGATCACCACGTCAAGGTTGGAGTTGATAGGCCGCTTGACTTCGTCAGTAATGAAATAAGTTTACGAAATAGGCAAACAGATTCAAACATTAATGGACTTCAGGCACATATTGTTAACAACAAATTGACTAACAACGAACTTATTATTTATCATTCTACAGTACCATAAATGCAAACTTACTGAATGTGTATAACAATAGGTAGGTGGCCATGCTAAACTATAGATTAAATAATCCCAATCACGTTCAACAGAAGAAATAGGTGTTGAGAAAGTTGAATATAGAATGAAAATTATTGATATATGCAACCTAAAATATAAAGTAATGTGAAAAAAATCAAATAAAAAAAACATGAATAATAACTTTAGATAACATACGATGGTTAACATTGGAACATATTTTCTTAAGTGAACTGATAATGAGAGAGAGAAAAATATCATCTTTGCTACAAGTCAACATCAATATCAATAGACAATACCGAAGCTTGTGGTTATATATATACATATATGATCGTTAATTAATGTAGTGTTAAAGTTGGCTTCTGGCATAACTAATTTTTCCCATATCCAGAGCATTGAGTACAACTTTCAATTCTAGCCCTAAGAGGGATGAAAGGACCGTAAGGATAGAAGTCAAGTGTGACAGTTTTACTCAGAGCTACTCTTGAAGGCGGTTTGTTTATAAATGCAGCCCGAAGTAGGTAGTAGACTCCATCCAAGACTAAATACTAACACGAGGTCAATAATGTATAAGTGCCGTGCGAGAAAGTTGAAAAGTATTTTGAAGTAAGAGTACACAGTGCATGAGACCGTTCAATCAAAAGTAAAACAGATAGAGTTGAACTGCAAGCTTTGGGAATTCGGTTGATGAGTGCGATTTGTGCTTCAGCATACTGGCAGGCTTCAGTGTCCACTGAACTACGGATGCCTGCCTTTTGGTGGGTGGTGTGTACATTGTTTGTATGCGACGCACGCACCGTGGGTATGTGTTTGCGTGTTAATGCAATTTTTAAGGATGTTCACCACCACCAACACCAACGCTGCTGCCTGTCTGTTGAGACCAAACTGATCAGGTTTGATTGTGTCGAGCTCATAATATTGAAAGGAAATGTTAACTATGATAACATCATTGACAGAAACATGTTTTGAAAAAAGAAACAAAAAAAAACTCTCCCAGCTGGTAAGATTAATAATATATTATTGGTTGACGTTTACAAGCGCTTTAAAGTGAATATTAAGAAAGAAATGGAATTATACAAAGACAAAGATATGAGTATCCATTTGAATGACGTTTTTATTTCATGAAGTGAGTGTGAGACAAAAGCAACAGTTGCATGTACCCACTAGTAAGCATGTTCATAATAGCTTGGGTAAATTAAGTACCAAATCCTAATAAAGTGAAATTCATTATTTCTAATGAGATCTAACAATTCAACGTCTAGAGACAAATTCAGAAGTTGCATCGTCCGTTTCATACGACAAGATATCTTATTCTTGCTTTATACCAATTTTCTAACCGAATCGTTACGTAAATGAGTTAGACCATCTTCCTAGGTCATTCATCAAATCTAAACAAATCGTAAATAGACTGCAGTAAGATAATAGTAGGCCATCAGAACTGTTGCCCTATAACTACCACTGCACACGATTTGTGAGAACAAATTATTGAAACCAACAGATATCAATCAATACATTCGTCACCTCATCAACTTATTTAATATTTAGATAAACAGTAAATGATCTTTGGAAGTGAGAGAGAAATCGAAGTTATACAAGCTTTTTCTTACGTTGACATACAATAAAAAGTCTGTAATAAACGCGATGACTCGGCCCGAAGCCTTTCTGGAGTCACAAACTCGAATAAATACGAAAGATACAATATTGGGGTTAGCTACCCGATCCCATTGCTTTTTCAGAAGTCCAGTCCAATTCAGCTTCTGACAACCAGAGCAACCGTTGATAAACTACATGGGATGTTTGCACAATGTGGAAGACCGAGAGAACTGTTCAAAGTGCAGCGGACTATCAAAGCAAGGACTAGATTTCTACAGTTGAAGAACTGGAACTCGAAACAACTGTTAACCAACAAGTTTCAATTTTCAATACCAACGTCCAAACATTCCTGCTGTATGGAGCGAGAACTGAAGCTGTCATAAATAAGATACAGCAACGTTTTTAACAGTTATCTAAGCGAGATACTGCAGACTTTGTCAAACACCGTCAGAAGCAATTTACTACAGGAAAGAATAAACCATATTTCAACAAAGCAACAAATAAGAAAAAGCACCGGAGGTGGACACAGGAAACCATCAACTGCGGCAACACTCAAAACCGAAGGGAGGGAGTTATAAAAGAAACACAATGCGCCGAGAATTGGAGATAGATTGTTAGCTTGATAGGTGAAATTACTTCAGTAAATCGTTTATGTTGCTGAAATACATGTTTGAGAGGAAGGACAACAAACTGAACCTCTGAAGGAATTCGAAGCTGCATAGAAGTCAATTAGATTCGCATTGACAATTACTTGTTTAAGAACTAACTTCATTTTGTACAGTGGAATCCTGTAGTTATAAACAATTGTAATATAGCACAACTATAGCCACTATAAATAAATTCATCCGTCTAGGAGGCTTCCATATCCAAAACTAATACTTGTTTGTTCTTCTAAAACAAATTGTTCCGGCAGTTCTACCCAACTGCTATTCATTTTTTCATGTCGATCCCAACGATTGCATTCTCGGCTTACAAGTTAGATACAACGGAAAAAACCCTGTTCCTGATGTATAATTTGCTTTAAGACTATTTACGGTAAATCTGCTTAACTTAGAACTAAAATGTACGATGACAAAGGGGCAAGCGTTCATAATTTCGATAATTAACAACAACTCACATGATAAACAGCAGATATATCATCAAAAGTAGACGGAAGATCATTTTGTGGCTTTTGTTAGGTTGGATGGTATTTTGAGGATGGGAAAGTGTACGTAGAAGTGTGCGTGAAGCTGGAAAAGTGTAAAACACAAAGAATAGGTTGACTAATAAAAAAACAAGTGAATAAAACTGCGTTAGGAAATGAAGATAGTTCAGTAAAATAAGCAACATAAAATACGCGCAAAAAACATAATTCGAACATGTAAAAGAAAGAAAAAAAATTTTAGAATCAAATTACATGAACAAATTGTTTAGATGTCGGCGCGCAACTCGTTTCTGCACATCTGCTAGCAGTACACAATAGAAACCCTGATTCATATTCAGTCTGTTAATCACTTATAAGTTCAACCGGGATAAAAATTGTGTACTAGTGGGACATGGAGAGCAAATCAGGTGAAAGCTGGAAAAGAAACGAATAGAGGAGACTTAGCCAACAATCGGAAGGCGCACACAACACACCTACATTTAGTTAGAAAAGCAATAGACAGTAGTCGTCATTACCACAAACTGAGTTTTGCTAAAACTGGAATTCCAAAGTAAAGGCAAACAGTACTACGTCACACTGAGCTTACGGACTTAAAATCACCGCGATACCACAAGCTTTTTGTTTTTAAAATTTCCAATATTCAATATCCTAATCACTCTTGCTTGTACAACGCTTCGCATACTTACTGAGGCAGAAAGTATGATAATTAGAAGTATTTGAACTATTGGATGAACTATTAATCCCAGAAATAATGTAAGTGGATCAAGAACGACCAGATAAGCACGAACGAATGTACTTTATTTAGAATTCGAAATCAAGCATTCCACAACAACAAGAAGTCACTAGTTCATTCAGACACCACATCCGCCACAGCTTAAATTGGAATCCAAGTGTCTGTAATCAAGTGTACGTCTCTTTCTCAAGTTCATCCTGTGTCTGTCCGACAGTGTAATGGATGAAGACTCTATGTTATCTAGAATGCTCTCATTAGTATTAGAATTACCAACCAAAATCGGAACAGACTCACCTGGTTCCTGGAATTGTATTTGATCAACATGTTGACTGTGTGTCCTTAAGCCATTGATATCTAGAAGTCGCGCCATAGATTTCTCGACATTCTTCAGAACAATCCCCGTGGATGGTCGAAGATCATTGCCACGATAATATGTAACTTCTGCAGACTCCAAACATCTCATATTCGACCGAAGAATTCTTCCTTTTAATAGCTTTGATGGAGTCTGTTTCGTCACCAAATGTCTGGCATTTCTATATTGCAGTAGAAAGGTATTTACTCCCCTCTCCAGCTCATTAAATGTTGAGGCAGCAATAGAATCAATAGCAGTTTTCAACGTCCTGACAAAATTTTCTGCCTGACCACTGGAACAAGGATGTTTGCACCCTATACCATTTAACCAGATAGTGACTGCATCTGCAGCAAAATGAGAGCCGTTATCAGTCCCTAACACCATTGGAACCAATTCTCGACTAAACACCTTTCTTAATGCTTGAATTGTGAAGTCAGAATTTGGTGAAGTTGTGAAAAAAACTTCAGGCCACTTTGAAAAAGAATCAATGACTACAAGCGCATAGTATTTGCCAAGAAACGGGCCACAATAGTCTTCATGAATTCTCTGCCGGGCCTCAGACGATACTGGCTATGGAGTCCACTTCGAATTCTGATTTTTCAGCTTATGACACTTTTCGCAATGGTTTGCTGTACCACAAATATCTGCATTTATCTCTGACCACCAACACGTGAGCTTCACCAAGGACTTCATTTTCTCAACACCTAAATGTCCACTATGAAGATCTTCAAGAACAGATTTACGCAATGAAGGAGGAATAACAACACAGCAGGAGTAGTGGATAGCTCATCCCGCTTTGAATCTACGTTTCAGATTAGCATCCCAACCTTTCCGTATAGCATTAATTATACATGCAAAGTTTGTACGAGTTTCTCTAATGAGATCTGGAAGTTTCAATGGTTAAGGTTGCACCAACAAACAGTCTGAAGTATTAACAGGTTTATCTTGTAATGACTGTCGAGAAATGTAGTCAACGTGTTGAATTTGTTTGGCACTCCTATGCTGAACCGTATAGTCATAGGCACTCAAAGCAATACTCCATCGTTGAACCATAGCAGTTGAGGCACGTGCTAAGGATTTTTCAGGATGATAAATAAACTGTAAAGCCTCATAATCAGTATTCATAGTGAATTTCTTTCCGAATAAATATTTATGAAGTCTTTTAACAGCCAAAAACACAGCTAATGCCTCTCGCTGAGTCTGTGAATAACCTTGTCTAGTAACAGTTAGTTTGCGTGAAACACAAATAACTGGTCTACGTTCCTGTTCCAAAACTGCGCCAATACCCACAGGTGATGCATCAGTGATAAGCACAGACTGTACACTAGGGGAGTAAGTTCGAAGAACAGCATCACTTTGAAGAAACTTTAGTAGACTACGTAAGCATGACTCTTGTTCCTCACCCCATTTGAATGAATTGGATGTCAAAATACTATATAAACGATTTGCACGACAAGAAAAATTAGGAATTAAACGGCAATAGTATTGAAGAGCACCCGCTAGTGAACGTAGTTCCGTAAGATTTTTTGGGGTCGGTGCATTTGTCAGTGGAGCTAGTCGTTTCATATCTGGTCTAAAACCATTACGATCAACTAGGTATCCAAGACATTCAAAACTAGATACACAAAATGAACACATATTTGGATTTACTGTAATATTCTTCTCAATTAAACGACGCAATAAGGCAATAAGTCTCTGGTCATGAACTCCCTTATCAGCACCATGAATAATGAGATCATCTTGATAAACTTCAACACCTTCAAGATCATTAACCACCTTATTCATAACTTCCTGGGATATGGCTGGAGAACAACTTAGACCAAATGGAAGGGAATTTTATTTAAACAGACCAAAAGGAGTGTTTATTGTCGTCAAAATAGATGAGGATTGATCAAAAAAGGGATTTGAAGATAAGCATCTTTTAGGCCAACTTTCGAGAATACTTTAGAACCATGAAGTCGATTTAGAATATCTTCAGCCTCTACCGTCGTACATGTTTGCTTCAACAAACGGGAGTTCAATGTTAGTCTGTAGTCACCACATATTCTAGGAGTCTTGCCATCCGATTTCAGTGGCGTAACAATAGGAGTACCCCATGCAGAAGACTGAACCGGTTCAATTATGCCTTTTGTACACAAAGTCTTATGCACCGCATCTCGAAGACCATGAGGAATTATTCGTCTTTTGAGAAAGACTGGATCACCCTGTACTTGAAGTCTTATGGGCTGAATTTTCATACCTCCACTGCACTTAGCACACGTGACTAACAAATCTTTAAGTAAAGCATCAAATTTTTCTTTAGAAACTAGGAAAGACAACTCCACTTTAAGCCTTTTCAAATTCCTTAAACCCAGTATTGACAGTCCTGTTTCGCTAACTAAATATTCACAAGGTATGTATGAGGAATCATCATCTCTTAAAAGCAATTCACAACATCCTCATATAGGCAGTCTGTGTCCAGTAATCCCCAATATTGATACTTCACTGGGTCGTACCACAACGTTAGGATCTAAAGATTTCAAGTTCTTGGATGAAATAATGGACTCTATAATGCCTGTGTCCACAATAAAGTCATGACATGAACCAAACGATGTATATAATCGCTTTTGAATATGAGCATTGCCTTACGAAACGGTAAACAAAGATTAAATGAACATTAGGATCAGCTGAGTTATTGGGATCTAAAGTAGAAGATTTAGTACTACTTGAGGCAAAGTGAACAGTAGCTTTGCATAATGCTTGAATGTGTCTTATCCTACCACATCTAAAACATTTAGCATTACGAAATGCACTTGAATTACGAGAATGAAGTTTTCCACATGATAAACATTTGCCAAACCTGGTCTCACCTTTGTGATTTCCTTAGTAATTGTTTATTGAAACACCGTTCATATTTACATGAGAATAGGAACCACTGTTAAACGAACACAATTTTGATTACCCTGAGATTGTTTTTCATCGTGACAACTAATCAAAGTATTGGAAATCTTCATCGACTGAAAATCAAGTTCATTCAACGCCTCGTAATTAATGCACGCAGTTCTAACATCTTGAAAGGAACAGTTTGACATTCTTAACAGCTCTCTTTCCAAACTAGGTATGTTAATTCCTGCGATTAATTGGTCTCTCAGTTGCACATGAAGTTGATCACCAAAATAACATTTGACAGCTTGTTTCTGCAATTCAAGAATGAATTCCTTAACCTTTTGGTCATTTTGACGAATCATCTTATGAAATTTCGCCCTTTCACGGCATTCAAAACTAGTGCACTTTACATGATTTAATAATAACTACTTAAGCATTGCATAAGGAAGTGAGATAGGTTTTTCTGGATATGCCAAAGTTTTTAATAAGCTGTACGCTTCTTTTCCGATGAATGTCAGGAAATGTGCCAAAATCTTATCATCTTTAACATCTTTCTTGGTCATGCTCCAGATTTCAAACCTTTCCAAATAATCCTCAAAAGCTTCAGAAGTTGAATGAATATCTAACTGTTCCATCACAAGCTCCATCGCGACGCCAATATGATAATTAGGAGTATTTGAATTATTGGATGAACTATTAATCCCAGAAATAATGTAAGTGGATCAAGAACGACCAGATAAGCACGAACGAATGTACTGTATTTCGAATTCCAAACCAAGCATTCCAAAACAACGAGAAGTCACTAGTTCATTCAAACACCACAGAAGTTACGAAATAAATGAGGTATTTAGTGACTTCTAGCAGTGTGATGAATGCAAGTTTATTTTCGGAGCCCAATAAATTAAGACTGTTTTATCTACAATATCTTCAATATCTTTTTCATTAGCTAGTATAAACCAATAGGCTTCTCTGCGATCGATTCTTGTTCTTTCGTTCGAGGTCTTTTGAAGTGCCTAGTGGATAGTGGTGTAGCCACTCGACTGCAGTAATTTAGTTGTTTGGCAGTATTCCAGTCGGTGGTAGAAATCCAATAACCGATATCTTTTCCATGAGCACGTATAAACGAAGTAATTTTTTTACTTCAGCTTTTTGTTCCTTCAGCATAGCTTCAGGAATTCATCAGTGTTCAAAAGATGATAGTTCAACCACTCGACTGCACTAAATCTAGTCAATTAATGGTCCTTTATGGACTTGTGTGTCCTTTGACATGTGTGACTACGTCACAGTGAGGGTTTTAGGGTCGCTCGATACCAGCAGCTGTCACATCACCATGATAGAGATCAGTTAGTTGCAGTGCAGAGAGTAATAAGCAGAAAATATTATTGCTTATTAGAATAGGAAGATTGGATTTCGTAGTATATTGCTAAATAAGTTAATAAAATGTCAGTGAAGATTGTGTGAGAAGACAGAGCTGTCAATGAAACACAGGTACTATAGATAATTAACAATATTGAATAGTTTAATGATCTGGGTAACCGATTGCAAAGACACGCATGAGACACAAATGATCAAAAATTGAGATGGTTGCCCGTTTGTGAATACGTGTCTATCAAGTCTACTATCCGATGAAGGGTTCGGCCAATTTGCCTGT